GGGGGATGGGAAAACACTTCTTATCTACAGGGTGCCTGAATGAAACGTCATTGTACACCTAACCCTTAACTGTACCCCACAAAACCATAATAAAAAATACTGATTAATGGAAAAAAAAAAAAGAGGAAAGACAGGCATCTCCTGGGCCCTGGACTTGCCTATATAGGGTGATAAAATGGATTTTTAAAGTGTCCACCCGCCCAAACCGCTGCGAGCCAAAGTCCGACCCCTGCCCTCTTTCCAACATTGTCCTCACAATTCTCTATCAAAGAAAAGGGGTTCTGATTGCCAGGACTTCTAGAATGCATTTATCTGATAACGTTCACTTCTAACCCTTCTCTGAAGCTCATCTCCAAGGACTGGTTTACTACACTGTCTTGTTGCACTGTTGAAAGACCTTAGAAGGTGCAGGAAGTGTATGGGGACGGTTTTCAAAGGAGGGGTTTTAGGCTGAGGAAGGAGTGTCAGGCCCTCATAGTGGAGCAGAATTAAGGGCTAAGGCTTCACCTGTGTTCTTTTTCCCTTGGTAGGGAGAGTAAGCAAACACAAGAGAAGGGGCCCTTCCCCCAGTACGAGGCTTTCTTTGATCTGACCCAGGCTAGCTCTCCTCTCATCACAACCTGACTGGCCCTGGCTGTCCTTGGCTGTGAACGTCTCTGGCAGCTCCTGACCATTCCCTACCCACACCCCTGCCTCTAAATTTGCCTGACCCCACCTCCACCAAGAAATCTTCTCTAGGTCTGTGGGTTCCCCTGACTGTTTCACACCATCTCATCCAAAGCCTCTCTGCAACATTTGTCAAGATGTATCATAATGATCTGCTTCTGTGTCTGTCTCTGCTCTCCAGATTGCCCTCCTGAAGACATTCACTGTCCACTTTGTTCTTTTGTCTTTTCTTTTCTTTCTTTTTTTTTTTTTTTTTTTTTTTTTTTTTTTTTTTTTTTTTTTTTTTTTTTTTTTTTTTTTTTTTTTTTTTTTTTTTTTTTTTAGCCAGCATGTCACTCTGCCACCCAGGCTGGAGTGCAGTAGTACAAACACAGCCCACTGACTCTATCCTTGACCTCCGAGGCAATCAGTCAGCCTCAGCCTCCCAAGTAGCTGGGACTAACGGCATACACCACCATGCCTGGCTAGTTGTTTTGTTTTTTCATAGAGATGAGGTCTCATTATGTTGCCTCGCTGGCCTTGAACTCCTGAGCTCAAGCAATCCTTCTGCCTTGGCCTCCCAAAGTGCTCGGATTACATGCATGAGCCCCTGCACCTGACCTTCCTCATTGTCCAATTTATCATTTTATTCCTCCTTGACATGTATGAATGTAATAGTAGTTACTCAAACATTTGTTGGGAGGTTAATGGGACTGAGTGTGTCCGTTAGGGTCCTGGCAGAAAAGAGACGGTCCATTCCAACTGGGTAGCTTAATAATGAACAAACGGGACTATTTATATATAAGTTGCGGTCAGTCTGTGGAAAACCACAGGGTCATGTAGTGCCCCAGGCCTGAAGGGGAGACTGTTACTGGAATCCAGAGAGAAAACTTTTTAGAGGGCAGTTCAACATAGACCTTCAGTGGAGGGATACAGCCAGCCTGCAGGTACCCCACAGGGAGAAAGACTGGGAAGGGGGATAAACATGCCAACCTATTGTTCTCCCCTCCAGTTTTCTGCCCAGCATCCCCCAATGGCCAGTCAGAAGCCAGAGGGCAGTCAATATAATCCATTACAGGTCAGTTTCCCAGGATACAGAGCAGAGTGGAGAAGTGTGAGAGCAGATCCCTAGTAATGAATGGAAACTATCACCGAATCTTTCAGTTTTATTTTATTATTTTATTTTATTTTATTTTTTGAGTTGGAGTCTCACTCCGTCACCCAGGCTGGAGTGTAGTGGCATGCTCACGGCCACTGCAGCCTTGGCCTGCTGGGCTCAGGCAATCCTTTTGCCTCAGCCTTTAAAGTAGCTGGAACCACGGGCAGGCACCACCATGCCCAGCTAATTTTTTAATTTACTGTAGAGATGAGGTCTCACCAAGTTGTCCTGTCTGGTCTCAAACCCCTGGACTCAGGCAATCCTCTTGCCTCCACCTGCCAAAATACTGAGATTAAAGGCGTTAGCCACCACACCCCACCTGGTTTTATTTTTTTCAGACCTTTTTTTGTTCCTGAGTGCTGCAAACATTCCATTTAGTTTTATGTAGTTTCTCTCCCTCTTACAACCTTTAACTAGTAATTCTGTAACAGCGTCATCGTATCCTTATTCTTCTCCCTAAAATATCCAGTCCTTGTCCCCTTTGTTGCCTTGATCCAACACTCTTGAGTTGATTTTGCTTTGCAGAAGCAGCAGCACCAAATGAAAATCCTGGGGATTTTAGGCCCCATCTAACAAAACATCTCAAGAAAATGAAAACGTAGACAAATGCTGCTGAATCATCTTAAATGTATAAGTTAAACTGAATGTCAATGCTTAAGGATCTGACTTTGATAAAACCATCACTGAAAAGAGGAAATTTTTCAATAAATATTGCTGTGGATTAGTGTTAACTTAAAAACAACAACAACAACAGAGTTTTCAATAGTAGATGTTTTCCTCGTGTTATGGTCTGAGTAACGCTCAGCTGCTCCCCTTGAAACCAATAAATCAAAGGGGCGGGGAACTGGTAGAAAGAAATTTATTTCTGAGTTCAAATCCAGGGAGCAGATCCAGACTCAAGGTCGTTTTTTTTTTTTTTTTTTTGAGGTGGAGTCTCACTCTGTCACCCAGACTAGAGTGCAGTGGCCGCTCCCGGCCACCGCAGCCTCGAC